ATAAAAGCACAAAAAGAAACATAGAATGGCACACTTGTGTGCACGCGACTCAGCACTCCCCGTTTCAGTTCTTTCAGTTCACCCCCCTTTTAACAACGCAACGGTGAAATGTCAAACGCTGTGAGTCTTTCTGAAACCGCTGACTTTTGTTTGGCGGCACTTGACACACTTTTCATTTGCCACACACAAACACCTGCACCTCGCCGCCAATCTAACCACTTTGTTTATGGTCACACTAACGGTATATATGCGTACCATATGTGTGCCGGTGCTCACAACGACGATTGCCACTTTGTGCATTCCAGTATGGCACTGGGTGGCTGGCGGTACGGCATCATCTTATAACTGTATGAAACTGCATGTATGCGCATGTGTGCGTGTGTGTCGTAGAAATATATGTTTTTCGCGCATGGAGACACTTGTGTGGCATCGTTTCATTTTCTGCATACCAACGAAAATTAATGTTTAGTGTATGGGATAAAATGCTGAGTTGCATTTTTAGGGATAAATACGACTTTTCCTTGTAAGCCGTCTTTAATATTCGCCTACTCTGTGGAACAAACAAACAGACGTACATTTCTACAATGAAATAAGCAGCTTCTCATAGTTATTGCATCGAACGCTTAGTGGAAATCACCGAAAAAATTAAATATTCCCATTCCTATGGAATTTTCGTTAGAAAATGTTTTTACAAGATAAACTGCGTCATTAAGATGTTATTTAGGATGATTGATCAGATTAGTGAAATATTTTAGTTGAACTATTTTTCTGGTTAAAATATCGCCTCAAGGGCCTGTCTTTTGCCTATATGGGCGACGGTCTCTGTTAGAGTGGCATTATGGAATTATTTTCAAAATTCGAAAGAGTTATCGAAAAAACGGCGCAAATTTCATATAAAACGTATTATTTTTATTATGCTAAATCAAGGCTGATGCAGTAAGCAAGTGCTGGTTCCGGGTATAACTGAACAATTAATACAATGCAACTTGCAAGTATCAAAGCAGGGGTGTAGCAAATTTTTATATTAAACAAGCAAATATGTTAACTTGAGCTGCACAGCATTTCTTATAGCATAAAAGGGTATAAAAAGGTTCTCATCTTAATCGAAAATTTTATATGACTGCTATATCTTATAGTAGTCCGATATCGGCGGTTCCGAGTAATGAAAAGTTTCTTGGTAAAAATAGAACGTGTGCAACTCCGATTACACTTTAAGGGTTTTTTTTACATTTAAAGGGATCAATGCTCTTTTGCTTACATTTTATGAGATCAATGACTCCTTTGCTTACATTACAGGTCAATGACCCTTTTGTTTATATTTAGCCAAGCTCACAAACTTTGTCTACATTTTGCAAAGTCAACAACCTTTTTTTTGCTTTTTAGGTCAATGAACCTATTTTTTACATTGTGGGGGCAATAACCCTATAGTTTACATTTTTCCGAGGTCAATGACTCCTTTGTTTACATTTTATAGGGTCAATGACATTTAGCAAAGTGCACAACCTTTGTTTAGATTTAGCCAAGTCCACAACCATTGTTTACATTTAGCCAAGTCAACAACTTCTGTTTACATTTGTGGTCAATGTCACCTTTGTTTACATTTTACGGGGTCAACGATCCCTTTTTAAATAGTTCTAACCGGACAGCTATAGCATACATGTATAATTGCCAAAGAAATCAAGATCAAGATCAAAGCCTGGGAAACACCTTCAGGTGTTGGCAAATCTTGAAATTGAACATAAAAATATCACTGTGCATTCATCCATTTCTGAATTTTATTAAGATTTCTTGCATACTGACCGATAGATGCAGTATAAAAATAAACTGCAAGTTTAAAAATATTTATGTTAGACGTATGGGGGCTAAGAAAAGTGCTGACCAGATTTACAAGTCATAGTCCATTCGACAATTTTTTTTGCGTATTATAAAATAACTTGATTAATAACTTTATTAATGTTTTATTCGCTGTATTCGCAGTATTCATACTGTAAAGTGAAAGAATCAGATGGTATGTAAAAGTTTGTTATACACACCAAATTTGGTGAAATTGGTCAAATCGTTCCTGAGATATAGGATTTGTCCATATTTTACACGGGCTCTCATTAAGCGCTTCCCTGCCATCCTGGTTGTTTAATGCTTCTGGCTCATTTTTCAGTGAGTTATCACACTTTTAGTAATTTTCAACATAGCTATTGAAATATGGTGAGTAAGCGTGGTTATAATCTGATTTTACCCATTTTTGCAGTGTATGAACAAATGCTAAAAATACTTCTCAGCAAGTTTGGTTTAGTTAGCTACAGCGGTTTGATAGATATGTACTTACCTAAAGTACATTTAACCATTTAGAGGGCGAGGCTATGCTCACTTTAAATATTTGTTCAGCCCACAAGGATCTCTCACCACTGCGATCCCCTATACAGTTACATTACAGTTTTGTATCTAGTCGCTTACTTTGGTAAAAAAGCTTCTTTAGCTAGGCAGATCTAAAAATATGTCATTATTCATTAATTGAGCGCTTAGAGGCGCCTTGTATACACACTTAAAGAGATTCAGAGAGCGCTGCCCAAATAATGTTTCCTTCACTGCCCACCAGCAGTCCCTGCACGTCATAATAGGTGGTTAAACACACTGCCAATTTCGCGCTGTAATCAATTCTTCCACTGGCTCACTAATTTCGCTTGCACCTAGCCTGATTTGTAATTGTGCCCAATAGGATCCACCGAGGAAACTAAATTTCGAATAAACCGAATTAAAATTCATTGACGTTCTGCTGCTCCGTAGTTTCGATTCCCAATATCCAGGTAATAAAATTAAATACCGTTCTCGATTTATTTACAGTTACAACGAAAAGTTGGCGGACATTTCTTCTTTTTTGTTTTTGTTTTAGTTGCCTTTGTGGCCGCTGCTGTTGCCATAGTTTTACACAACCACACAACAACAGCAGCGAAACGCGGCAACACACCCACGATGACCGAGTCGGATGAATCCGTAACTTGGAATTAATTAAACGAGTGTCACGCGGTAAACAATAATTACAGTGATTAGCGTTGATTGTGACACAGCTGCTGACGTCAATTAAAAACAACGGCAATAATATGAACACAAACAACAACATTCACAGCAACAACAATATCGGCAGCATTAAAATCTAGCGATATTGCAAATAACATGCGCAAATTGTGAGTAATTTTAAGCCCGCGCTGGAATCCCCGTCCCCGTCACCACTCTGTAAAAAGGGCGCTAGGATGTAGTTTGGCGTAAACTACAAAATGCACACGAATACATAGCAAGATTTGCCTCCATGTGCATAGGTGTCGGTGCGACGCCGAGTAATTCACACGCTTAACTGAGCTTAGTTTCGGGTTAAAATTTAAGTTTTGAACAAATCCTGCTGCGCGTAGCTGCGCCGTAACCGACTGTATCGAGCATTCGACTGAACTCAGTGATATCAGTTGATCTAAATTTCACTGGCTCCTAAATTATGTTGTAAAACATTAAAGTTCTGAAATTGTCTCGAAAAATCATTGTTAGGCAACTTTAATTACTTAGCAGCCTCCACCGTTGCATACCACATGTCCATATCGTTGCAAAAATTCACATGTACACATGTGCACAACCAAGCCTCGTGGCATGTGTGCGTCATGTGCGCTTGCAGTCGTTTGCCTGGCAATCGAAGCCATTACCTGGAGTTAAAATGCAGAATGGACCCCCAACGCTGCTAAAAGTGACACAGGAAACAGCTAACTCCGCAGATAAACCTAACTGTGAAGTGCGGACAAGCGGACAACGGTCTAAGCACTTCGATCGCACTCCACAGATTCGTGCTGCACTGGACTGGGCTAGGAGCCAATTTGGCGTGAATTTGCACGCCAAGCGGTCGTCGGCAGCATCCCTTGAGCAAAGTAAGTCATGCCAACATGAATGGCAACACGAAGGATGGGCCAAAAGCAAAAACCAAAGTCGCAACGCGGCACAGTGGCCTGGCTACTGAAAATGGACAAAGACAAGCAGAGACATAAATGTGCGCGCGTGTGTGTGGGAACGAACGTTAGATGTGGCATATGCAAAGGGAATTCACCGTTTGTGGCGATGCCAAATCGCTCCGATAGTAAATACAGGTGATACCTTCGTGTGAGTGTGTGTGTGTCTGTCTGAATGAGTGTGGTGAATAGAGTGGTTTCCTCGAGCTTTGCAATAGTGAGTGTCACACACAGTGTTTTACTCAATGATATTTGAGCTGAGAAAATAATTACTAGTCCTTGAGGAAGGTATTCAGGATTTCAGCTTTTCTAATAATATCGGTACCTTTTATTAGCAATCGCGGGAAATATTTTTATTTTTATATATTAGGCTTCAAAACTGTTTAAAAGTAGACGTGTCCTCACATATGATACATATAAAACATAGGAGTTACATTTTAAGGAGACATTGTCCTCGCTCCTGGTTCAGACTATAGAAAATAGAAAAAATCGGAGAATAACTACAAGAAGCGACTTCGCATATAACAGTTTTTTTTTTATTCAACGTGACAAAAGCACCTCTACCACACTGTGCAACACCTATGGTATGCTGCGCTGTCGGGCGTTGGATGGGCGTTTTTCAGGTGTCACGGTGATATGGTGACAAAATGGGCAGCTTAACATAGAGCCAGCAGAGTGCGGATCACTGCGGTGAGTCGAGTATGCACTTACGTGGTTTCGTTTCATTTGGCGATTTGTGTCGCATCCGGTATGTGGTTTTCCGCTCCTATGCGAAAGTGCTGCAACCGAGCGTGAAAGCGGTGTGCGGTGATACGGCAAGTGTGGCGAGTAAGATGCGAAGAGAATGTGCCTGCCGCACTGGCATTGCGGGGTCGCCCTATTGCCTTACGCCCTTTCAAACTTACTTACTTCCATGGATGCATCCTTGTGCGAGTGTGTGTGTGTGTGTTTGAATTCGGTAACTGGCCGCTAAATTAAAGTACCGTTGCAATTTGTAACGGGCGAAATAAAACAACAATCTGATTTTGGTTACCGATAAATGTAACACATTCGTAATTGACTGTATTTCAATATCGGGCAACGACATTGCTTTTATTTTTGTTATTTTTTGTTATTCAATTTTGCATTGCTACTTGCTGTGTAAAATTCTCATTGAACTTTCGTGTGTTGAATAAAATTTTGCTTAATACGCTGTGGCCATAAGTGTACTAAGTATTAGTTATTAGTTAGAAAACAAATGGCACGGATCTTAACAACGAACTAATTACCATAAGATAACTGTATAAATTATGAGCATAGAATACATACTTGCAACATGTGAATTTCAACAACTACATAAGTTTCTATATTTTCTTTGTGTTATAATTTGTGAAAATTAGCATTATTAATAACAATAAGTGCTGTCTTTTTTACTTTTATTTTTATTTCTATAAATTATTATTTTTTATTTTATAAATGTATGTTTAGATTACACATACATACAGAAAGCACTATGAATTAATAATTCTCAATTGAATTATTATACTAAAATATATATTTGACTTTATATAACCCACGAAACTCATTCGCTGGTCTAGGCTAAAAAATTCGTGCAAAAAATTTCATTGTTTGATAAATGCAGATTAAATGGGTTGGGTCTAAAGGTAGATCACATTGAAATATGATAATTATGTATTTAAAATGGAAGTGTCTCAAGTTTGTGCGTAGGGTTTAAGGATAGAAACTCAGAAAGTCGTTATAACCTTCGACGAGGTTGATTATTTTGTTTTTTGCGTCTGTCTTTCTGCATCTTCTCTACCGTAACCGTATTTCCATTAAAACATATTACCAAACCCCAGTCTAAAAGCCTACAACCATTGCTCAGTGCTGCATTATAGCTAGCATGCTGAAAATGGCTTCTGTCGCGAAAAATTTAGAAGCACTTTATCTAGACTTCTAAACAAACTTGTCTGGTATTTTGGATAAATCTTTCATTTGGCATATGTACGTATAGTACAGAAAGAAGCCACGGACTGCTGATCACAACAAAAATAGTGAGGCTTTAAAAGAATTAAACCAACATATCGGATTTGTCACTTTCGAATACAATTAGCTATTAATTAATTGAAACCTCTCAAAAGGATAATCTTTTTAAGAATTTTGAAAAACAAAATTTACTTCGAATGCCAATGTGCAGCTTATACGAATTTAATATCAGCAACCACAATTCATATAAAATTAATTTACATTTAATTACCTCGCTGGTCTATAACAGTACCAATTCTTGAAAACTGGTATGTGCTCTCAAGTATTTCACCAACTTCATTAGTTGGCCGAACCGAAGTCGGCTATAAGCCCTTCTTTACTTTTATAGGATGCAACATTGAAACTACATGTGAATCTCCCTTGAGTGTGGACAACAGTGCGAAATATTTTAAAATTATATTTTTCTTTTATAAGAATTTTTGTAAAAAAAAAAACTGGTGCAAAGCATTATTATTTTCATTATCTGTTTCAGTTAGACTTCATGCACTGTTTCTTTCATCAGACACCACTTGTTTCATCAGTTCATTTTTTCTGCCGCACGAACTTCCGCAAAAACTTGGATAATCTTCTATTTATAGGGACAAGTAAACGTTAAAAGGAACACCATCGACTTGATTTGTTACTTTTATATCTAAGTTCCATTACATTACAAAAAAATTTAATCAAATTTAATAACTTACAACTAAATTAATTTAATACATTTATTCGCTTAAAAATGTTATCTCCAATGATGTGAAACATTTCACAAATTCTCTTTGTGCCAGAGAAAAGCTAAAAGCAAAACAAGTACTCATATACGAGCATATATGTGTGTATGTATTGCCACGTGATAAATCACATAACCCGACGTAATATCTTCATGCCAAATTTTGCAATTTTCATTTCACAATTCATTTTAATTTATTCTTTATATCGTTTTAATAAACAAGTGCATACAAATACAAGTAAATTCAATATGTTTCTACTAAGTCTAACATACTTTATAATTAATTTGTGTATATGTAGGTATGTAATGTATACTTTTTGGTCTTGTTGGTACTCTAAACGTGTAATTTTGTATGAGTGTTGGTAATTTTCTTTTAATTTGGGCTTCCTGTGCCCTAAATTTTAATTTTAACTATAATTTCTAATACCGCACATTTTATACTCTTCTACTCCTCACGCATCCATCTGACACTTCATTCGACACTCTGCTAATAACATAATATTTGTATATATCCATTACATTAATCCCATTTAAACACTAAGATGTGTATCTGTGTGTGTTTCTTCTTATTTTCTAATACATTGCAACATTTCCTTCTTTTTTTGATTTTTTAACATAAAATATACAGCTACGTGCCGTAATCTCTTAATTCACTTGTATTTATAACTGTATAAGTCCGCTTCCCAAAAGAATGAAAAAAAGTTCGCTGCCCTCAAATAATTAAGAGGTTATAAGTAATATCTTAGAAAAAAGGAAAGCAGCAAAGTATTTTCTGCAGTTTTACGTTGCCACACTTTTCATCTATCTAATACGCATGTGTGCTCCAAATGCTACAACGACGCCTGAAATTATAAACTGAAACGCTCGGCCGAGATGCGACTGATATCGGGACACACCGTCATCGCTAAGTCCATCATGGCACATTTCCGGATGCCGTGTGAAATCCTCACAGTATATCTGAAATGTTAAAGGGTTAACTTTAAAATATCACTCCAATTACTCGCGGCGTGGAAAAGAACTCCGAAGACGATGCTTGGATTCTTCCTGCAGGGCTGCAGATATGCTACTAAAATAATACATACTGCTACACATGTACCAAAACAAAGTGAATGGTTTGAAGCACTTTTGGCAATTGCATGAGCCGCAAAAACCTTTTTATAAATGAAAATTCTATTGATATCGCAGATTGTTTCTTTAAAAATTTGTTGCTTTGTGAGAGCGCAGCAAGTAACCCATGGGAAATGTACTACTAACTCATTTAAACCCTTTAATAAATATTCTTTTCAAATTTATTCTCATCTCCTTATAACATATACATACGTTTTTTAATATGATCTCACCTTCGTTAGACTGTGCGCGTATTTATCAACCAGTTCACGAGTGAATTTCGCCGCGTCGTGACCGCATATCTTACGTGCTGCATCTTCAGAACAATCCACCAACTCATTGATTGAACTGCATTTGAATAACGGAAAGTTCAGTTAGTAAAAAGTAATTACTTGCAAATTTTTACATCAACGCACCAACAAATCGTTTTTATATTTTCGTTCAAAGTGATGTTCTCGTGGCTCTCCTGGTTCTTATTGGGCTTCAAAAACACCATTGTTTCCTTATAGCGGTTGGCGCAACCCTCAAATTCCTTTTTGGCTATTTCAGAACAGTGGGCATGCTTTAAGTATTCTAGAAATATTAACAACAAATAAAGAGGCTGGTTTTTAAATACTATAATTATCTTTCAATTTACCATCCTGAAACTCGCCTTCGTTACACAGGTCACGAATGAATTGATTTGTGCCGTGATACAATTTATTGAATTGGTTTCTTTGCTGCAGCGGCATGCAGCGCCGCGTGTAACTCTGGATGCAACGAACGCCCTTTTTCAGTTCACTAAAATATAAAGAGAAGATATAAATATTAATTGGCGAATTAGGAAATTTCAAGTAATAACACTATAATAGATAGTAGGTTTCATGACCAAAATACACAGTGAAATTCAATAGACCGATCTCACAATGCAAACTAAACAGATTAAAAACAATAAAAATTACACACACAAAACACTTTAATCAATAGTAGTGAACGTTTTTACTGCTTTCTAAAGAAAACAGTAGACCAAAATAAAATATGGAGCCGCTTAGTTTGGTCTATTGTTTAATCAGAAAAACACACTTTAACTTTTGACCTATTGTAATAACTTAAAGCCATGACGTGTTTAATGCAATACATAGTTCATTTGTTATTCATATGAATTCTTGATTTTTCCATAACCGCATTAACCTCCTATCTCTCGATGTGATGACAAAAAAATTTGTTTTGAAAATTCAATTTGGCACATGCTTTTACTTACTCATGTAACGAACCGAAAGTTTTTTCAGACTCATTTTACAAAACAGATGATCCGCTTGGAATTTTTAATGAACTCGATTTCTATCCACAAGAAGAACGTTTACACTTGTATGTGTGTGTGTGTGTATGCGTGTGCGAGAGTGTGCCTTTTTTTGTTTTGCGAAAGAGAGCAACCACTCGCAGCATTGGCTTAGTGGGAAGTGGACAAACGCATTGAGTGCTGCATACCAAGTGCCAAAGGTTGACCACTGAATGATAACGGTATTTACGAGCACAATGAAGAACGTATTGCTTCCGGCCATGGAGTGGTAGTTGCAATCAACACAAATTTTCGTGTAACTAAATAGGCACACGATAACTGCCGGAATAGTGAGGTCTCGTCTAAACGAAGAAAAACACCATGAGAATTGCCGTCCAAATTGTATCTTCCGAGCGAGTGCAGAGAGCACGTAAGCGAACGCACGAATGAATTGGCAAGTGGACGAATGCATTGATATCACAGATACATACTCGTGCATAGATACCGTCCGAGGCGAGCAAAAACATGAAGTTTAAAATCAAAACTTCAAGTCAACTTCTGTGCGCATCGATGTGTTGCGTTCCTCATTGGCGTAAATAGCGGAGCAATAGGGCGCTGCATGCACAAGCACACATTCGTTAATATGTAAAATAAATACCTATATTTAGTATAAACAAACCCGAAACTCCTATGCAAAAAGCAAAACAACAAAATACTTGAAGTCTCTGCTTTGTAAAAGCACTGAAGCGTTGTTAAAAAAGTAAAATGTTTCGCCAACTTTATTAAAGAACTCCCGCAATTTCATCCGAATCGCGGACGCAGGTCTCATATATTTCAGTAATATTTCTGATGGGTAAAAATCGTGTATCAAACATTGGGAGTTAATCTAAAGCTCGTCTAAATCTTTAGTAAGGATTTCAACAACATATTGCCTTTAAGTTTTAGAGATGAGTTTGATTTGTATTTACAATTGTAAAAAAGACCTCTTCCCCGTTACAATCAGTGGATACTAGAGAGCGCTTTGGTAAGTTGCAGTCCTAAGCTATCTAGGGAGAAGTCTGGACATAAGCACAAATAAAACTGAACTATTACTGTTCAACGAAAGGATAGAAATGGAGAAACGAAAATCCGAAACATTTATACTCTTACAACATGTTGCTACAGAGTATAATACTAGTTTTTTTCACATAATCGACATAGATATGGAATTATATATTATATATAACAATATAGATGATCAGGATGGCGAGACGTATTGAATTCCGGTGACTGTCTGTCTGTCATAGCTAAACACTATATTAAAATACAAAACTGTTATTTGGCGCAGATGATCGCAGTAGCAAAAAGCACCTAGTGGCTTAAAAACGTGGCCTCGCCGTGGTTTACGCACATATCTTCTAAGCCACTTACAATAACCAAATTCGTTCAGGATAAATTCCTTAAGCTCTTCTACCGAAATTGTAAAAATGGATAAAATCGGATGATAACACCGCTCACTCCTCACATAACGGTTTTGTTAAAAACTACTAAAAGTGCGATAAATCAAAAATTAATACGCCAGAGACATTAAATTTTACATCCGAGATGATACGAGCGTTCTTTATAAGAGTCAAAATAACACGATGGGCGCGGCACCGCCTACATTTAGGTAAAAACTTTTATCTCAGGACTTACTAAACCGATATTGACCAAATTTGGTGCGTACTTGATATTCTTACCTTCCGGTGCGAAAAGGAGCTAAACCGGACTAGAACCACGCCTACTTTCCATATAATACAATTTTAAACTCCATCTGATTCTTTCACTTTCCAGTATGCTATCAAGCAGCAATGAATGTATCGGGATAAAACTTTGCACGAATAATGCGCTTAAAGTAAGCCACCTTAGACCAAAAATTGTTAAAATCGCACTAAAACTGTTCAAGCTCCCAGATACCAAATATGTGAATCCCAGTTCTTACAGCGAACATTTTATCGAAAATATCGGTCGATTTGTAAGAATTCGGAAAAAATCATTTGCTGATTAAACTAAGCTCGTATGTCAAATATAGGTTGAATCGATCAATACTTCCATTAACTCCCGTATTAATATAAAGTAACGGCCAAAGCCTAAAAGTAAGTCCCCGTCAAGTTGCAAGAGTATAAAATGTTCGGTTAGATCCGAACTAAGGCCTTTTTAAAAGTGGCAACGATGGGACATCTTTTGATGAAGCGCGGATAACATTTCTACAAACTATTCAAAAGTTATAAACTCGTATTTATACATAAGGATGTACTGAATGATATTCGATTAATTTCGAAGCACGAGGACATAATTAATCTCAATAATAAGTGAGTATTCTAGAAAATTAGGCAGAGATTAATTTGCACCAATACTAGGGCTTATTGAATACACGAATGCGTTGAAGTATATAACTGTGATTTCGAAATTCCGCTAACTAAGCAACACCATTTATGACTTCAATAATTAAAAACTCGCACTAAGGCAGCGCCACATTTTATAATTATGACACCTGATTGCACCAGATTTAATGGACGATGCTCTGAGCTGATAGTGTCGGTTTGCAGCCAAAATGGGAGAATTTACTCGTACATTTGCTGGAAATTAGAAGGTAATATTAATTTTGCTAGTAAAAACCACAAATTGCACAGCGCAATTAATTCCTGTGCTGAATGAAGAAAAAATGACCGAGAAACAGCCAAAAAAGAAAGTCGACTACACTTAGTAATTACTAGCACCCTGCCATTAGTGCTTCGTAGTGATGAGCGGCGCAACAAACTGCGCGTAGTCAGTTTGCTAGTCGCCACCAGGTAAAGCATGCAACAGCAGTGGTGCGCCAGGCTCGGGCTGGAGGGCAAATGCGAAATTAAATAATTGAAAAAAGAAACTTTTTCTTTTCTCGTTGATAACGTTGACTTACTTGCAAAGTTTAAGCAGTTCGTCCTTCTTGGCAGCACCGATGGATAATTCGGAGGTTAAATGTAGCATATCCAAAGGCTCAGCACATTTCGTAAACTCCTCTTGGCCGCACTCCTCACCACGAACGCCAGCCACCAGGTCGCTGCCGAGGATTGCAACTGAAACGATACGAAAAGCGAAACAGTATAAACGAAACTTACAGAAAATGTCGTCACATTAGAGATGACAATAATTGTGGCCGCATGCCTGCCGTGAAGGGGGCGCGGTGGCAAGCGTAGCATGAAACTTTGATACAAAATGAGAAACTTCGAGTTGCTGCAACTTGCATTCGGTAGCTGCAATCAGTGGCACCAACGAAGCAGTTCGGCCCACCGTCTATTGGGCACATGTTAGCGTGAGTGTGCGTGTGTGTGTGTGTGTGTGTGCTATACTGCATCCACTGTGCCACCGACTGTCTAGTACGTATGAAGAACCAACTCATCGGAGCACACTGGGCGACGGCGACACTCAATGTGGCTGAACAACAAAGTTGAGAATGTGCATCGAGGGTAATAAAATCCTCTGTACGTTAAATTGCTAGCAAACGTAGTGTTCGACAACAATAACACTAACAACAAAGTAGCACAGCTGCCGAGCAACAGCATTGCTCAGAGGGTGGAGTAACGGGGCAGCGTCGGCAAGCGCGGTGACCGCACAGCGCTGGGTGGGTTAAGGGACAGCCATCGTTGGCGCTGTTGCTGTTGCTGGTGCTGGTGCTGGTGATATGCGGTGTTTTGGGGTAAAAGGCCACCAAGCGGTTAAATTGAAATATTGCACTTTTTATTGCAGTTCCTTTGGTCAATAACGCTGATAAATGGAGCTTGGGTAGATTCCAAATCGTATTTATCGTACATGCTTGTTTGTTTGTGGTAGTGCTTACGCGAGAGGATGACACTGTGCGCCGCTATATGCCTTGGTTTCCGTTCTCCCGTCCTCCTTGCTGTGCATATCAGCAGCAAACATATGTACGCACGCACATACATATATTGTGTTGTGATCAGTTTGGACAAATGAGAGATGCTGCGTTTTGATAAAAGTTGGCCAAGACGTGCCAAAGTTAAGAATTCGTTGAAAGCAAAGACGTTCGAGTGACTCGCATATCTCTGAAGGTGCAAGCAACAAATGCTGGCAGATTTTCTCATTGCATGTGCTTTCAAGCTTTCGCCGCTGCGTAGCTACACTATCACCTTATACAGTTTAGTAAATTCAGTCATTCAGATTTTCAAATTGCCGAAAACTTGAGGAAAGTTGCGCTAGTCCGCATTCACAGAACACCTAAGACTCCTCCAAGACTCCAATACTTTACCAGAGCTAGTTGGAGGAGCGGATTCGGGAACGGTTTACAACGAAAATAAAAGCAAGCATGTTCTTTCTTATAGCGCTCATCTCTGGTGATATTGTCAAATCTTCCAGCGCATATGTGCCATGAAAAAGCTTCTCGTAAAACATGTCAGCCGTTTGAAGCACCGCAAGTATTTTAACGACCTTCATTTGCGTAGCAACAGGCGCACACTCAGGTATACACAGGTAACTCTTGCATATTGCAGATGTATTTCAAAAGATACAGATTGTAAGAATATATAATTGCAAACGAAGTGTTGGAAAAACTAAAAATTGGAGATAAATGCCTTTTGTAAAACAATTTGAAACTGTTCATGACCTTAGTAGTATATTCAGTATACATATATTTTGAGCTTCCTTAAACGATTTCATATTTAAATTCTTTTCTTCCTTTTTATAATTAGTACGAAAACTGTAATTTCATAAAAAAAATTACATTTCAATCTAGCTAGAGGAATATCAGACCAAGTATTTTAGAAATTTCACTGGAATTCATTATTAAAGGGAATATGATTGCGGTTGAAATATAAGAAGTAAGGTACCATTCTTTTGTTTTTTTTTTTTGCTTAGCTTTCCATAGTGTTCATTGAACGGAAAATTAGTTCGCACAACCCACAAACTTTCTTCGTAATTTTTATCTTAATTTTCAATAGTGGCACAATTCTAAGATCTATGCTTAAATCAAACAAAGTATGTTCACACACGCTGCAACTGTCAGGCGGCTTTTGAAGTTTGTGTGAGTGGCTTCTAGCAAGATTCTGCTGGATAATCTTTGAATGCTTTATCTGATGCCCTTAGCAATACATACATACATGCAATGTACACATTCTTGAAAAATAATAAGACACTCAGAAGTAACAAGCTGCTCACTTGTGCGCACACACACACACACATTCGTGCAAAACTAAGCAGAGTATAAAGCTAAGTACTACGTTTTCTGTCTCATTTGATATTGTCACAATGAATATGCAACATGTACATACATACATATCACATATGGATGAAAGCACATTTGATTGTGAGTGCGTGTGCGGGTGTGTGTTGATACACATATCCTCAAGACCAGACGGATTGACCATTTTGAGCCAATTTGATTTCAACATATATGTACTCTCACTCTATATACAAATATGCATTCAGCTGTGAGTGCGTGTGCATACGACTATGAACCATACAATATTTTATTTGCTTAGCATTCGAGCCGCAGCTGCAATTCTTGTCATTGTCTTTCCCATTTAACTTTTACTCTTTTTTCCAATTTATTTTCTTTTTCACGTTGTTCACTTTTATTTCTATTTTTGTTTTTCCTTTTCCATTTTCTCTATTATATTTCTTTTCTGCTTGCAGCCTGCATTCTGTTGTTGTTGTTGTAGCATTTTAGTTTTTGCCAGTTTAAAAAGTTCGCCACTGCTGATGCAACAACAGCAACAACAAGAAATACAGAGTCTCGCTATAAATCAACAAATGTTGGCATTGCAATGCTAGAAAAAAGGGAAAAAGCGAAACAGTGAGCACACAAAAATTGAACAACTCACACACCACACTCACACTCCTTTGTACACACGGCATGGCATCCTTGGCAGTTCTTCCTTTTGTATCCTGGCATGGATATCGCACGCTGCTGGCCAGTTTACAGAGCATGGAAAGCTCGATTGCGTCTTTCTGCGTACGGGCATACGGCGCACACACACACATAATTGAGTTCTAACAAACACACATACACGTGTATACCTTCGCATGCGCATGCGTGCGTGTGTGTGTGTGTATGGTTATTTGCACGCGTCCAGCGTATTTATTTGCGTGTGGTATTTGTAAAGTATGTGCAGGATGTATAAATATGCGAATATTTGGAGCGGCCAGCATCGGTCATCGGTCGTTTGGTGGCTGCATTACGGCGTTACTGCATCTATAACAACAACAACTATGTATAACGGCGCACCAGGACAAACGAGCCGCGCCGCATTCCAACTCCGTTCACCTGCCGCCGCTGCGTGCGCATTGAATTGTTGTTGGCCGCGTGCTGCGGTTACCAGAGTCTTTATAGACATTCGAACACATATTTGCTCAACTTCCCATTAATTTTTGAAATGCATCGAAAATTGAAAACAGCAGGAAAAGGCTGTAAAGCATTTCCGTGTATTCATACAGCACGAGTATAAACGCTGCGTTGTGTTGCGTTGCAATGCTCGGCAATGAATTGCACGGATATAAGCCCCAGCAGGCTCTACTCGCCGTTCATTCATTCCTTTCTTCATGATTTGTTCATATACTTTATTGATAATTCGCTCAAGCTTCCCTTTTTCGTTTTATTTACTTCTGAGTAGTTGTTCTTGTTTTTATATATTGACTCGTATGCTAGTACGCCGACCAGGCACGAGTGTGGCATATGTATTTGAATTCGTATATTCAGTGATGCTGTTTTATTAACTCCCCGGATGAATGTAATATGCGTGAAGTTAAGCATTAGGGGTGTATATTTTTTATTCATTCCGAGAAATCATGACATGAAGTTTATATTTAACAAGAAAAAACGTTAACTTCGCTTGCACTAAAGCTATAAAGAGAGTACTTCACAAATACAAAAGATTCCTACAAGTAACTTTGATCTGACAATTTGTAAGGTCGCTATATGCTATAGTGACTCGATCTAAGCAATTTCTTTGGAGATTGCAGCGTTGTTTTGGATAATAATCCATGCCAAATTTCTTTAAGATATCTCATCAAATAAAAAAGTTTTCCATACAAGCACTTGATTTCGATCGTTCAGTTTGCATGGCAGCTATATGCTGGTTCGATCTGAATAATTTCTGCGGAGATTGCATCACTGCCGTAGGCAATATTTCATGTCAAACTTCTTGAAGATATCTTATCAATTGAAAAGCTATTGTACATGCTATAGCGGTCCGATATCGGCCGTTTCGACAAAAGATCAGCTTCTTAAGAAAAAAGAACGTGTGCAAAATTTCAAAGCGATATCTCAAAAACTGAGGAACTAGTTCGCATATATACAGACAGACAGTCATGGCTAAACCGACTCAGCTCGTCCCGCTGATAATTTATATACTTTATACGGTATCTCTCGTTTCGTTTTGGGTGTTACAAACATCGTGGCAAACTTAATATTCCCTTACAGGGTATAAAAATAAATGAACTTTGCACATTGCAGTTACAGGGGTCGACCAGATGTCGCGAAATTACCGAAAAAATCAAAGCTGTACTCTTTCTCTTCTCTACAGGCAATTTTTAAGCTTCCGTAGTAATAATATCACCCTTGCTCAGTTTTCGATTTCTACGTTCGAAAAGTAGAACGCTTTGTTTTTTAGTCATGCATTGAATTAAAATATGCGTAATGCCTTACCATACATATTATTGTTCCAAGAATTCCGAACTACCCTAATGTTCGAACAAATGTTTATGTAGTAGTAGTGTAGTAGTGTAGTTTAAGTAGTTCTTTAGTGATTTTATTTATATACGTAAACTGATAAATAAACAATAATGCCATTAAATACAATTTGAGTCAATGCACTTTCATGAATATTATATTATATTAAACCTCACCTGCGAAGCTGCAAAGGTGTGAAGGTGTTACTCCCCAATCTAGACCACAAAAAATATATGATCAGACTCATACAATAGTGAAAATATGAAAAGAATGTGGTCATTGCAACTGATGTTGGCAAAAAAATTCATAAAAACACAAAATCTATCGAAATGATAAAAACTTTTAAGCTCCTGCTTTCGTCAGTTAATTTTCAAATGATTTTAGGTAGTTTCCGGC